GTTGCTAATTGTGTGTATTGTGCCTGGCATCGGGGGCCCCTACTATATATCAATACTAACTAGCCACTTCTGAACAGTGTTGTCACTGTTTCATTCTGCAGAACTTGTTAAAGAAAATGCCTTGAAGGGTTAACACGGTCTAGAGAGGAGACTACTGAGGAAATGATGACTTGAGTTAAATATTAAACAAAACGAAGCCATTTGTTCCTAGACTAGAGTATATGACATACTGTTTCTGATCTCGTCCGCTTCCCAGTAAAAAAGAAAATCAATTCTAGTAACAATCAATACAACTACACAGAGTAGCAAGCAGATATAACTATGCTGAAAATAAGTACAGCCCCCAATCTGTTAAGGTGACTGAGGAAATCTGCTCTTTCCAATTGGGAGGTAAATGACCAAACCAGATTAATGAACTGCTGATTGCAGGTTGTCTGAACAAGGCTGTTTTCAGATTAGTACTACTGTTTTATCATTATTGGTAGTGTTAGTTTATGGGAGAGGTCAGTGAAGTCTCAAGTGATTGCATGGCAATTTGCTGCTCAGACAATTCACAATAGTTTTCCATTGTAACATGTTTACAACGAGCAAAAAAACCAGACCAACCAAACTGCACTGTAAATTTGCTATCAGCGTGCTGGGAAGACACAACTCTGGGTGTTAAAACAAAATCTCTATAATCTCTTTAATCTCTAGAGTCAGGATCCATGGTAATCATTCTGAAAAACAATGGGAACTGCAGTATACTATCTCTGAAACATTAAAATGGTACATATTGGTGAACCAAAAATAAAAATCCCCAACCAACCCTACATCCTAAACTTTTGATGCAACATGTTACAAGGCAACTTTGTTTTTTAACAGTTACTGATCTAAAATCTAATGTCAGACAAAAATAAAGTACCAACAGGTGATCACAATGAAATGAATGGCCTGGTATATGCCACTTACCCTGCTGAATAAGTGCTATGCACATGCCAAGTATTATTCTTAACCTAATGCTGCTCCTCTTGAATTTTTTTGCTTGGCATTATTTAACTTGGGCATTTAGGAGATCACACTCCCTACTTTGTTTGAGGTCCACCAGTTCAGTGATGACTGCTGTTATGATGTAGCTCACATCAACCTGGACCTACATGCTTTATCAGAAGGGCAAAATGAGAGGCACAGATGCAGCCATTTTTTTGGCAGAGTCAGACGGGGTTTTTCCTGTGGAGTCCTCTTTGGTAGGGTTTTCTACAGAACATGCATGCTATAGCAGACCAGACTCTGAGATTCTATTAAAATAATTTCTCTTTGAACAGTAAAGTATATCTTGCACTATAATAATTTATTACATACAATTGCCAAATGCTATTCTGATGGCAGCTGAGAGTCATGCTGCCTAGAACTAGTTACTGGTTGATCTCTTTTGTTGATATGATTCTAAGAACAGAGCAGAAGTTCTGCTGCCTACAATGAACTTTTCCAAACTTATTTGTATAAAATCAGGGACGGGAGACACAAAAATAAGGAAAGGGCAAGATTTCCAAAAGGTAGAAGTCTAAACATTTTACCCTATTGCTTCTGATCTGAGGTCTGCTTCTATGAGAATGGAAAGTGCCACAGTCACCGGCAACAGCGAGTCCTTGCCTAAAAAGTTTTCCAGATAACATCTATACCAGAGTGTGTATGAAGAAGGTCTATTTAATCTAAATCTATCTAAGCTTTTATACCCTGCTGTCAGATAACCATGGCATCTGATAGCCTTACACAAGCCTCAAAATCAGGGCCGGCTCCAGCATTTCTGCCGCCCCAAGCAAAAAAAAAAAAAAAAAAGCCGCGATTGGCGGCGG